TGTTTAGAGACATCTGCTGGATTGCATACGACCAAATTTTTCATTTGTTATCTAATGTTGTTCCACCTAATAAACACGTCTCGTTCTGTTGGTAGATATGAAAAAAAAAGAGTCGAAATTTTCTTTACAACATTCTACGTATTTCCAAAGTGGTTTAGATTACAGCGCATAAAATCTACTTCAGAAAGTTAAAACAATGACTTATATTAACAAAGTTACATACTACGTGTTGCAGCTGGTCAAACCAGTTATACAGATATAAAATTTGATCGTAAAGTAATGTTTTATGTATATTTTAATAAGTAAGTTCACATACATTATCATAAAAAAAAAATATATATAGAAGAGAAGAACAGATAAGCAAAGTGATGCCAATATTTGACATATCTATAATTTGTAACAATATTCTTAAATGGTCACTCGACAATATATGAAGAAGATTCTTCTCTTTAATTAGGATTCAAAGAGGAGAAACAACAAAACAAAAGTAAAAGTTTTGATTGGATCGGATGTATGATGTGTCGAATAAGTAGTTTCGTTTCCTTCTATAATGCATAAATCATATATTAGTCTTTTTTCAAATGTAGGTGAAGACTAAAAAGGTAGTAACAATATGGTGGAAAAAAGGAGAAGAAAAAAAATACTTTAAAAAGATTGAAAATGAAAAAACTGGGGGCATTCCGAGAATTGAACTCGGGACCTCTCGCACCCTAAGCGAGAATCATACCACTAGACCAAATGCCCATTTTGTTCAACCTATTACATGTTAATATAAATTTATAAACACTATCGAATTACAGGTACAATCGTAGCCTATCCAGCTTATCGTCTCTCTCCCGCCAATCTACTCGACTAAAACGCCAGTTATCATCAATGGAGTCTCTAGGGTTTTTTCTCCGATTCTGTCACTACAAGAAGAACTGGGCGATTTGATTTCTTCGTAAGGCGGCTTTAATACCCGAGTTTCCGATGATCAATCGTATCGACACCGAAGTTTTCGCCTCCGATTCGAAATCTCTTTCAGCTTCCTCGAATCATCGTGAGTATTTCCGATTACGGATAATTTCGATTTTCTCTGTCCTGAATTGATTATTGTACGGGAGATTTTTTTCTGATGAATCATTTCTGGATTCTCTTAGGGTTTGAGGTTAATGGGGTTTTAGGATTTGGGGAAATTGAAGATACAGAGCCGATTGATGAAGCAATAACGCTTGATAGCTCGTTACTTGAAACCCAATTTCAAAATCTGTACGACGATACAGAGCTCGTAGATAACGGAAATTGCTGTGAGGATGAATCACTGGACCAGGAATTTGACTGTTTCGACCGAGTGGTGA